ATTAGGATGCTACTCCCTAAATACAGGGGAGAACAGCGTGGATTGGATTAATTTTGAAAGTGGATAACACAAATTTCACCCCATTTGGGTTTACATTTTGAATACGTTGCCTGACAAAACTTTCAGTCTCCATGTAATTGTAATGGGACTCAGAAATGAGTGTTGAAATTGTTTGCTGCTTCTTACATGTTCTTTAAATATTTTATACTTTAAGGTTTACCACATTGATTTTTAAATGCCTGACCATTTCTATCAATATGAAGTATTTTTAATATGTTAATGTTTCTAAAAGAAAAGGTACTTATTTGTGTTGAAGAGAAAAAAAAATTAAAGAGGTTTTATTCATTAGGTTTTCAGTTTTTTTTGTTTTTTTTTCACCATTGCTGGGGATCAAACCTAGGACCCTGCCCTCAAATATTTTGTATACAGACAGCTTCTGAATTACATACACACAATGTATGCATGGCTTGTGTATACTAATCACTGTTTTCTTTGTATGTGACTTGTACAACTGCACGAGTCCTTTACAAAAGACCTTGGAAATTTTTACCAATAAATATTTTTCTATGATCCTAGTTTAATACCGGGTACTAAAAAATTATTCTTTTCTTAATTGCTATCACATTATGGGCATTTTAATTTGGGAATTAGGCAAAACATTGGTTTAATTATTTTTCCCCTCTTACTGTTTCTCTTTTGTCAGTAAATGGAGTTCTGGTTTCATAGCCATAACAGGCCTGGAGGCAAAATTGATTTTTGGTATTAATATGGAGATTGTTAACCTTTCTTCATTTTGCTTTATTTTCCCTATGCATCAAATGAATAATTTTGTTAACCAAGTTCTTATATTGCTACAAATTCCTAGTTCTTGATATATATATATATATATATATTTTTTTTTTTTTTTTTTTAACTAAGGATTAAGTCATTTACTCACTGTTGGATGTAAAGCTGAAGTGCAGAAGAATAAAAGCCCAGCATTTACAAGTATAGCTACATTTGTAACTGAATCGATACTAAAGAGAATAATTGGTGATTTTATTATAGCCTCACATATAGCTTTACTCCTAGAGTTACATTTGGGATGAAAACTCTAGGGAGCACAAGTAAATTCAGGATTTTTGAAGCTTGAACTATTGTAAGCTTAAGGTTTAAGGACTTTATAATAGTGGTTGGCAAAGGGGACTGAATTTTGTTAAGCTTGTTTTGGCTGGTGAAGAAGATTTTTCAATTCTGTTTTGATAAACAGCTTTGTGAAATCAATGAAACTTGATGGCTTAAGTATTGTCTTGTATACATTGCCTGATTGTAAAATCGATTGACAAATGGAAGTTGTGAGGCATTCAGGGGAGACCTCATGAAGAGAACTATGAATGATTTTTATGCGTCTATCCAAACTAATTCTTTAACAATCAGGCCTGTCTTCCAAGATAAAAGTTCTGATGAATATACTATCGATTCTACATAGTTTGAATCAAGCATAAATATAAACGAAAGGCTTACAGAGAAAAAAATTACCTAAATTCAAAAGCATATATTAAAAACTCAAAGATTAGAATGTTTAGTGAAAAAAAAATGTTCTGATGTATCAAATTTTCTGTTTATTAGAAGATCTTAATTTTGCTGAAATATATTTCAAAACATACTTATTCTGATTTTGCATTTTAATAAGGTATATACAAAACACAGCTGGTCATTTGTTGAACAGTGGGAATTCTTTTTGAATTAAAGGTCATTTTCTGAATACCAGTTTTAATTATTTTAATATCAATTAAACTAACATTGTTTAATTATAATTTCTTGCAAAGCATTGTGTTTTATAGCTCAGAAGATACAAACTAGTTATAAATACATTGAATCTGTCTTCAAAGAGTTTATAGCATTTTGTGGGTATCATGATTATGAGTAGATTATTGCAACACAGAGTAGGGAATGTCCATTGTGAGAAATTTAAATACAGTTCTAAATATTTAAATCATACAGATATTTGGATTAATTGAACAGTGAGTATTTACCAAGAACTTAAGGTCAAGAGGATATAACTTATTTAGAATTTAATCCTTCCTAAGTGTAGTGTTTTATTGATTAGGACCAATATCACCATTATCTTAATGGTAATGATAAAGTGACAATTTACAACATTAATTAGTTGAAAATCCTGCAGAATGCAGCAGTTTATTTCTCAGCTCTCTTTAGGATGTGTCCCTTTAAAGACGATCCAAGATGATAGTCAACCTCTAGCTATCACATCTGCATTCTTGGCAGAAGGCTAGAGGAGAACATGAAGAAGTAAGGTGGCAAAGTCAGACTCCAACCTTTTTTAAATAAAGTTCCAAGAAGGTGTCATACAATATATACAACTTAGTCTCTTGGTCAAACTTACCTCCAAGCGAGTAGAGAAATATAATCTTTATTTTTAGTGGCTACATGCCAGCTGAAAATTGTACAGTCGATTACTATCAAGGAATAGGAAAGTGATATTAAGATTCTAGAAGTCTTTGCTATATCATCTATCATCATAACTCTACAAAAATTGCTTTCTCAAAGGCAGCAAATAATTTCCAAGATGGTGTTTGAGGGGCTTGAAACTCAGGAGGGAGAAAGAGAGAACAGATTGGAGGTGACAGGAAGATAGGACTATAGAAAGAAAGGAAGTGATTTTTAACACTTATATGTGGGATTTCAGAGAGAAAAAAGTCTGAAGACTATTTATTGTTTTCCTAGAGCTGCCCTAACAATGTGCTACACCCTAGTTGACTTAAAACAGCACTATTTCCCCACTATTCTGGATATTGGAAATCTGAAAGCAAGGTTTCAACAAGAACATATTCTATGAGACTGTAGGTTGGATTCTTTCCTTTTTCTCTTTAACTTTTGGTGGTAGTTTGGAATCTTGGCATTCCATCACTTGTTGCTGCATCACTCCACTCTGTCTCTGTGGTAACAGGGCTTTCTCTCTGGGTGTCTTTGCATTCATATAGTATTTTCCTCTTTTGAAAAGGACATCAATCTTATTGAATTTAAAGCTCACTCTAATGCCCTCAACCTGAGTATATGTATAAAGACCTTATTTCAAAATATACTTAATGTATTAGTCAGCTTTCCATTACTATAACAAATGTCTGGAATAGCTTATAAAGAGAAGAATGTTACTTTGGTTCATGGTTCCAGAAGTTCTAGTCCATACTTTTTTGTACCTGCTTCTTTTAGGCCTATGATGAGACAATACATCATGGCAATAGTGCATTGCCTGATAAAACCATTCATCCCGGGGCCAGAGAGCAAAAACCAAAGAGAGAGAAATAGGCTGGCATGTCACAATACCCTCTTTGGACATGTTCTAAGTGACTTAAAGACTTCCAACTAGGCCTTACCTCTCTTCAAGTTTACAGTCTCGATTTCACTATGGACTTGAGAATAAGCTATTAACACATAGATTTATGGGGGAACATTTATCCAAATCATATTAGTCACATTTATAGGTACTAGGGTTAGACATCAACTTATATTTCAGGGGACATAATTTAACTTTAAACAGAGCATATCTATAAATTTAAACAAACTAGACTAGAAAATATGTGTTTTGTTTTTGTCTTTATAATGAACTTCCATTATGGTTAAAAATCTGCACTATCCTTAAAGACTTTTGGATTAAGGTTTTTGTTATTTTTTTTTAAAGAGAGAGAATTTTAATATTTAGTTTTTTAGTTTTCAGCGGGCACATCTTCATTTGTATGTGGTGCTGAGGATCGAACCTGGGCCGCACGCATGCCAGGCAAGCGTGCTACTGCTTGAGCCACATCCCCAGCCCAGGTTTTTGTTATTTTTGATGTGTTTGTTGGAAAATGAACTTTAAGATAGTCCTAATTATTAGGAAACACCCATCTAGATTTGTTTTCCTCCTTTACTGAAGCTAATCCCCTTGAACACAATAAACATCAAGACTTCTCTGTCATTTCTGTGTGTCATACACACAGATTACACATCATAAATTCATTCCTCATCTCTGTTTTCAGTGCTTTGAAAATTTACTTGTACTTTTTAATCTTGCCTTGAATTCAGTACGATATAATTATGTAACTCACTTAAAAAGTTTAATTTACAATTTAACTTCTCAAGCTACTATTAAAAAATCTATATTATAACTTTTTTAGTCTGTTGAAGATTAGGGTCAGTACATTAAAGCGCAATAATTGTGTACAGGTAGGAATATGGATCCATGAGATGTAACAACTAAAAATCTGTCTCTGGAGACAAAAAGATATCACACGCACACATAAACCCCCAAACCACACGTGTGTATATATATATATATGTGCTCTTGAACAGACTCAAGACTCTCTCCATGAAAAATAGCAAACAGAGGTAATTGATTATCTGTTTATTATACTTCAGAACATTCATGAATATATAGTGATGATCCAGTTATAATAATAAAAGTTATATTTTGTTACGTATCTTGTTTTTAGTACATACTTAATCAATCTAAATTGCTTAACGTGTTTTTTAAAAGAGCATTTTGAGATCTTCCAAAAGCATATCTTAATAATCTAAAAAAATTGCTCAGCAGCTTATTTTACAAAGACAATAAATTCTATTTTAAAAATATTACTTTTATCTTCTCTTTATTTTGATTTATTTACATATGTCCAATTACTCCATTAGAAAATAGAGTAAATTACAAATCCTAAAGTAAACCATGTTTAAATGAAATTAAATATATTTACTTGCTTGATATAGTCACAGCAAGTGAGATTATTCTATCTCCTTGCTCTGTGTTCCTGGGGAACCTGCTCCTTCTTACTGTCTTGGTTAGCATATGTAATTTAGGAATATAAATGTGAAGCTATTTATTCATGTGTGAGTTTTTAATGACATTCAGAATACTTTCATTTGGGGAATTTGAATTGGCTGTTGTGAAATGATTTGGAGGAAGACATCATCATTGTGGGTGTAATGTAAAGGTTATGTAACTTTACATGTATCTTTTGTCTTTGCAGTGTGTGCAGGAACAGAGAATAAACTGAGTTCCCTCTCTGACCTGGAACAGCAGTACCGGGCCTTGCGCAAATACTATGAGAACTGTGAGGTAGTCATGGGCAACCTGGAGATAACCAGCATTGAGCACAACCGGGACCTCTCCTTCCTGCGGGTAAAGCTGTCTCTTTCTTTCTCTTCTCTTCTTTATGAGACGACAGTGGTGTCATGATGTGTAAAGGGAGACCTGCTGGCTTGGACCTGAGAGCTATGCTTTCCTGCCCGGCAGGGTTTGTGACTAGGGGAAGAAGATAAGATACAGAAGCACACCCAGGAAAAGAACAAGAGTAACAATGACATGATGACTGACACCTTGAGTTACAGCAGTTACTGCTGCCATGAGATGGATAAAAGATTCTGTCAGGTTGTAGTACATGACATCTTGCAAGTCTGTCTTTTTCTGACAGGCTGAGGACTAGGAAAGTCAGAGGACCAATCAGATGGTGACTTTAGCCAATCACTTCCTTTTCTGTTCCATTCCTGTCACTTTGGACATTTTTAGACTCTTTTGTATTACCATAAGAAGACTCAGACTGTTACCAAAAGTGGGGAGGGTGTTTGGTTTTGAAACCCAATAAATTATTTAAAGTAATCTCATGGGACATTGAAAATACTTATAAAGGTCATGTATGCATGCATATAATGTGTAAAGATGAAGTTATCCAGAGACAATCTATCCTTTTGGAAATTTCTTTTGGCCTTTTTTAATGTTACTCTGTTAAACAAGCTATTAATGCTAATACCTACAGTTTTTCTTTAACTGGAATAGTTGCAGGAAAATCTAAAATTAAAATGGACTGTACAAGGTGATCTTGGAATGTGGTTTTTGCACAATGAAAAATTTATTATTAGAGAAGAATTATTAAGATACACTTTAGATAACATTACCACTACATATTTGGTATTATTTTCAACAATATTCAATATATCTTAGAAGTATTGTCTAGCATAAATCAAGATGATAATATTCCCAGTACTGATATGGTAAATTATTTAGTGGATATTATATTATTTAGAGAACTATGATAATTTTAATAGTTTTTTAAACAAGAAATAAAAATGATATTTAAACATTGTATATTTGATATATATGAGATATTATATATATATATATATATATATATATATATATATATATATAATATATATTATATATATATATATATGGGGGCAGGCTCTTGTTCAAAAAGGGAATATACACAAGCTGTTCTAGCTAATATAAAAGAAACTCAATGGCATTCTGGAAGAAGGGAAACTAATGGAGAAAACTGAATTGTGAAGCAGGGCAAAGAAGTAGTCTATATAGTATGATAGATTGGAGCAATATGAGAAAATTCAAAAATGCAATCTAGAGACTTTTGCTTTTCTTCAGGTGTGTGTTTGCTTTGTCTTCTGCATGTGTACCTAGGTTTCTTGGACAACCAAAATAATTATTAATATTGTAAATGACAATCTTTAAATTGAGTCACATTAAAATCTTATACTTTTTTATAATTTTAGTATTCCCATTTTTATAATAGATTAAAAAGGCTAAAGATAGCCTTTAGTCAATTTTTAAACTTTATGAAAGTAGCATATAGATGTTGATGTTGGATATCTTTGAGTGGCCATTCTGATCTAAAAAAAAGAAAGAAAGAAAGCATTAAAATAAACAGATTTGGTGGTGAATAAGATAAGGAAGGCCACGGTTTCTACCTGAAACAAAAACTAAGTTGTTTCTTCAAATAAGTAATGGCTAGTTCCTAAGTAGCATCTTTAAAACTTTATATAAACTTTGTATTCTAGCTGGTCACAGTGGTTTACTCTTGTAATCCCTGCTACTTGGAAGCTGGAGGCAGAGACAGAAGAATGGAAAATTTGAAGCAGGCCTGAGCACATAGACCTTGTTTTAAAAAAAAAGAAAAGAAAGAAAAAGAAAAAAGACTAACTTTAATAGTTTAATAGTATTATTTTGTCTTTTTCCTTGTTGATTACATACTTTTTTCTTTATAAAAATATTTTCTACTCATGACATATATATACTTCTTAATCCAAGCATAAGATAGCAAGTAATCTATTGTCTGTGACTTCAATGATCTTGAAGTCTGTAGAGGATTACAGATGTGTAATACATAACTACTGTGTGTGTGTCTCTGTGTGTATTTATATATTATATAAGTATGCATAAGCATAAGACAAAAAAGTTTTATAGTTATATAAGTATGTAGTTGCTAATACAAAAAAAATTACCCAGAATCATAAAATATTGTCTTGAGTTAATAATAGGCATGCATGTTGAGCAAAGAAAAGAATGGCTAATTCCTAAGGATTCTGGAAAGTTTTCATCAAAGAGGTGCTTGAATTGAATCACAGAAAATGAATAAGAGCTCATGAGGTGGGTGGGGTGGAAGACTAGCACATTCCAATGGGAGTAACTAGGTTAAGACTTAGATTGAAGGACTAAATCAGAGTTAATAAATAGGTTCTTTGTGTGCATTGTTCCAAACACTAGGCATTTACATGCAAATAAATCACATGTGGTTTCTGCCCTACAATGCAGTGGGAATAAAGAGAAAGTTTGAAGGTAGACTAAAATATTGCATTGGGAAGGTGGTGAGTCTTATATTACAGATACTTAGGAAATAATAGCATCGACAGAACAATTTAACACTTTGGGATTAGATGAAATAGTCAAGGGAGTTTGAAAGGAATAAGATAAAGAAGTGGACAAAGGGCAGAACACCCTGGATTCCTCACTGTTTGATACTTGATGAGTTTAGTGTTGCAATAACTCTTCTACTGAGTCCTGAGAACAGAGATTGTTTGCCAAAATCCTCATAATAGTATATTATTGAAATCCATCATTCCAAATTATACCTTAGAATATACTAAAAGCTCTCCATTTAATATAAAATTATATTCTTTCTGCAAACCACATTATGGCCCATTTGGGCTCTTAGTATCTTTCCTCCAAAACACATAATCTGTCTATATTATAATGTAAAGAAGGTGTATTTTCCAATATACCATTATTTCCTTCATGTTTTGAATTATATCAATGAGTAAGAAACTTGCATTAATCTAGTATATGGATCACATACCCCTCAGGTTTATTTTATACAACTCTAATTTACTGAACAACTTTCCATAGAAGTTTCACAATTTCCCTGTCTCCAAGAATGACCTAAATCTGTCATGTGTTTGGAAAGGCATCATGGGTAGTGATCTTCGAATGATTCTGGATTTATTTATTTACTTACTTTGGAAGTCAAGTAAATTACTTTTGTTTTAAAAAGATTTTCCATTCTTATTTTCATCTCTAACCAGCAAGGTAGTAGTGTTTTGCCATTTGTTTTGTTTTGTATGAAGACACCCTAAGTTGTATAGATTCATGAAAGCAGGTTACCCAGATAACCCTGTTTAACTTACATATACAATCAGCATTGTCCATGTTTAGAGCAGCACCTAAAATATAGTAAGTTAAATTTTTGTTGAATGAACACATGAGTATTTTTCTTCAATTATGGATCCTGGCTTTCTATGTGTTATATTCTCTAAATGAACATGTGAATCTCTCTTCATAGTCATGTTATTTCATTGTGTCTCCACCAACAGGCCAGGTGTTTGGGAATAAGACAGGCTGGATCAGTCAGAACCCCTTTACATGAGTGGATTGTAGCCAAGAGTGTTCAGTTTCTGTAGGAGTTAGTTTCTTATTCACTTGGGTACCAGAACACAGCCTTCTTTTGTCTTGTGGTTTGAATGTCAGAGAGGATGTGCAAACAAGAGAATGGAGCCAGAACTCTGAAACAGACACAAAGAGCTGAAAAAGAGAGCTATTTACCCAAATACTGATGTGGGAGCCATTCATTTCCAGGGTCTAGTGTGCTTCTGAAGACTGGTTGGGTCCAGTCATTCCAGCCATAAAATGCTCCTGCAACTTCATGGTAATTTTATAATCTCCCCCTTTCCCCATTAAGCTGGACAGGATTGTTTCCTCTACTATAACTAAAATGTCCCATCTAGTACACCTCCCAAGATCTCAAGAAAGCAGCAAAAGTAGGCCTTTGAAATTGGACTGAAGATATATTCATAAATAAGCCTTAAAAAATCCCTCTAATGATTTGTTAGATACTTTGTTACAATGATTTGTTAGATACTCTTAATCTTTGTTAGATACTCTGTTTTGTTGAAATAAGTTTAAAGGCATTATTTTCAAGATGCTTTTATTGTAACAATCTTGATGCTCTTTTAACCAGTTTTGTTTTTTCAGTGTTCAGTTTTTACATTTCCTTTTGGAAAAGATTGACTATGTTAACATTCAACCCCCCAAGATACCACATAGTTGGCTAGAAAAAGGGCCTAAAACTTATTTACTGTGTGCTTTATCATGATCACAAGGTTAAGACATATAATAGACAGCTACAAGGCTTAAAAATCACAGACTTTGTGCTATTGTCTTACACTAGTGAACTCTCTAAAGCAAGGCAAAATGTAGCACGTAATGGGAGTGAATTATTAGACCTTTTACCCTCATTAAAATTCTTGGAGTCTTTTATTCTTTGACACCACATGGGTCTTCTGTGCTACTGCTGGCATTCAATAACTCAGTGCTTCTAGAAAGGTGACAGAGCCACCAGCTTTTGTACCTTAAACTCATTTTCTCTATTTATCTACCTTAAGCAAATAACTATCAATTGCCAACTATATATAACACAGTGTGGTATGTATGTAGGGTATATATAAGGACTATTAATACCTTTCCTTACCCATGGCAATCATAGGTAGTAATTTTTAATCTATGACTTGATTTTAATTTTACATAGATTGTTTTGGAAATAGTATATGTTAGGATTATGAAATGATAAGTTTAGAAATTGGTATATGTTATGTGGAATAGTAACATCATAAATTTATTGGATCTCAGTATGCTGTAGTTCAAAAGCCTTAAAGTTTACTAGTTATACATGTCTTTTATAAATAAAGAAAAGAATGTTTTAAGATATATTTTAAAATAGCACCACTAATTTCTATTATTGATAGAGAAAGGCAATAACTTTGAGAAAGAAAATATAGTTTTTAAGGGAAAATGATAAATATGATATCTTCTCTCAGATAATAAATAACAAGCACAGG